GAAAAGATATCAAAACAGTTATCATACTTGTCTTCTGTATGTTCAAGAATTTAGGCAGAGACATGGAAGATATAAAAAAAGACCTAAATCTAACTTCTAAAGATGAAAAATATGTCTGTGATGAAACTGCCTGGAATTGGATTAAAAGCAGTTTCGATAATGAACAAGATTAGTGAACTGCAAGACATAACAACAGAAACTAGCTAAAATAAAACATAAAGGAAAAAAAATTTTTTGATGCATAAAGAATCACTATAGCACAACTTTAAGCAGACAAATATACATGTAACTGAAGTCTGGAGAGGAGAGAAAGAGGAATAGAGATAGAGACAGAAAAAATATTTAGTCAGAATTTTTCCAAATTTGATGAAAACTATAAAGCCACAAATCCCAGAAGCCACACAAATGCCATGCATAAGAAAAATGAAGAATTCTACACCAAGGCATGTCTAATCAAATTACTGAACACAATTTGAGCAAGGGAAATTTGTTTTCAGTTAAATAATTTGATAAAAGAAAAATCTTAAAAGCAGTGAGGGAAAAAAAACAAGATACACTAACTACCAGAGAAGATAAAAATGACAGCAGATGTCTCCTTGGAAAATATAAGTGAGAAAACAAGAAAACAATGGAGTCACAGCTTTTAAGTGCTGAAGTGGGGGGAACTCAACCTAAAATTCTATACCCACAAAAGAAAAACTTTACAAACTGGACTTCAACATTTTAAAGTTCCTCCCTTCAAAAGATACTGTTAAGAAAATTATAAAATGAACCATGGAATTTATTTGCAAAAAAAATAAATAAATAAAAATCTGCATATCATAGATCTGATAAAGAACTTTTATGTAGTATAAAGGTCTCAATACTCAACAGTAAAAACTAAAGAACCAAATTTAAACAGGAGCAAAAAAGATTTGAAGTTCAGAGAAGATAATACATAGATAGAAAATACATGAGAAGATGGTTAATATCATTAGTCCTTGGGACATGCAAATTAAAAGTACAATGAAATATCACTATGTATGTATTAGAATAGGTAAAATAAAAAGGCTGACTATAATATACCAAGTGTTGGTAAGGACAGGGAGAACTGAAGCTCTCAACACTGGTAGTGGAAATGTAAAATGGTACAGTCTAGTTGGAAAACAATTTGGCAGCTTCTTAACAAATTAAACATACACCTACCATATGATCCAGCCTTTCTACTCTTAGGTATTTATCCAAGAAAAATGAAAACATATGTCCTCAGATTTATACATAAATGTTCATAGTACTTTAATCTGTAAAAGCCCCATACTGGAAACCCAAACTTCCATTTACAGTTCAAAGGATAAACAAATAGTGGTATATCCATATAACAATGGAACACTGTTCAGCAATTAACAAGAAATCATTGATACATTCAGTAAGAATAAACATCAAAATAATTATGCTGACTTAAAGCAAAACAAAAAAAACAGAACATACTACATGATTCCATTTATATAAAATTCTGAGAAACGTTAACTAATCTATAGTGTAAGAAAGTAGATTAGTGGTTGTCTAGGGAAGGTTTAGTGGTGAGGGGAAAAATTTCAAAGGGACACAGGAAAACTTTTGAGAATGATGGAATTTCATTATTTTGATTTTGATGATGGCTTCACAAGTATATACACATGTTGAAATATATAGAATTGTACACTTTTAAAATAGGTGCAGTTTACTGTATGTCAATTATACTTTAATAAAGCTATTTAAATATACATATTAAGAAGGGTAAGGAAATAAGAGCGAGGCAGTGGAGGGTGTTACTATTTTAGATAAATAGTGAAGGACTCATTGATATATGATATGGTGACATTTCAGAGCACAGATTTGAAGAAAGTGAGGAAGCAAGCATTGCAGGTACAAAGGAAAGAATTTCAAGAAGAGCAGAAAATATGAAAGTACTAAGGTACAAACATGCTTGCATGCATGCCAGTGTGACTGAAGCAGAGTGAATGAGGGCAGTGAGGAGTTGGGATATAAACAGAGAGATGACGTGGTAGGGTAGAAGGTGGTGACACAAGTCATGTAGGGCTTTGTAGGCCATTATAAGGTCTGGCTTTCACTCTGAGTGAGACTGAAGTCACCACAGGGTTTTGAGCCAGAGGGGTGGCATGATCTGACCAATGTTTTTAAAAGATCACTCTGGGTCCTATATGGAGTATCCTGTAGTGGAGCCAGGATAAAAGCAGGAAGACCAGGGGGGATATTGCTGTACCAGTCCTGGAGAGTGACAGGTGTGACTTTGCTTAAGATAAGAGCAGGAGGTTGTAAAAAATGGCTAGATACTGGATATATTTGAAGGACGAGATGATGAGATTTGCCTGTTGAGGAGAAGTTTGATTAGCAAAAAAGGGGGGGGGGGTGTCAAGGATGACTCAGGTTTTTATCCTGAGGAACTGTAAGAATAGAGCTGCTCTTTACTGAGATGGGAAAGACTGACAGAGAAACAGCAGTCCCTTAATAAGGCTTTCTCTCTCAATTTAATGATGTTAAATTTAGGGGATTTAGAAATATGTTGATTTAGAGAGAAAATGGTTAGTTTATGCCACACATGCTGAAGTTGAGGAACATGGCAAGACACCCAAAGAGAAATGTTCTGTACACAGGTGGAAAAATGGGGCTGAAATTGGGTTGGGAGGATGAGCTAAGAATGTCGAAAATATAAGACAGGGTAAATAAAGAGAGTAAGAAAACACTGAGTCATCTACTGATATTTGCGTAAAAGACAGTCATAAAGGAATCACAGGAAATGTAAAAGGAACAAAAAAGTACAGTAACATAGGAGACCCTAAAGAATGAAAATAGGAACATGTGCCAAATGTTAAAGAGAAGTCAAAATGAAGACAGTTGCTCCACGAGTCACAGGGACTATGGCTGTTTTACTCATATAGTGTTCAGCACACATAGAAAAATTAATAAATAAATACTTGTTGAGTGAGGGAATTAATGACCAAAATCTCACTTTTTAAAAAGTTAACTTATGAGCCTAAATTTTATCTGCTCAAGAATCTTGCCTTTACTCACTAGCCAAGACTTATTTTACTTTTAAAATTTAGATAAATCCTTTGCCTAATCCTGTTAGTTCTTCTGTTTGTTTTTTTTTAAATATTAGTCATCTGTCCTTCTTACCCTTTTAGTTTAAGTCTCTCATCTCTGTTACTGTTTATCACTTAGATAGAAAGTGTCAGTACAAGGGATTATAGGCTTAAGAGAATGTTGATAAAAGGATTGCTCAAGTCACAATTTCTAATTACCCTATTTCCCCATGTATAAGATGCTCCCATGTATAAGATGCACCTTAATTTTGGGGCCCGAAATTTGAAGACAAATGTATTACATAAAGTTATTGAACTCAAGTTTTAGTCATCATAAAATTCATACAATTCCTTATCACTGTCAAAACTCCCAACCAGAGCCGGACAAGTGGCTCAGTTGGTTAAGAGCTCATTCAAGAGTTTGAGCTCTGAGCAACAGCGGTTCGATGCCCGGCCCGAGCTGAGCTGCCACTGAGCTGCCAACAGGATGGCTCAGCTAAAAAAAAAACAAAAAAAACTCCCAACCATTATCTTGTCCTCATCTGTGTCTGATGACGAATCACTGTCTTCATATATTGCCTCTCATGACCTTCTTTTGCCATGGCGTTTTCAGTAGGGTTTCTTCTTCCTGTAGCCAGTCTCGGATTGTTTTCTCAGTTGGAGGACCACCAAACTTAGGTTCAGCAGCACGATTTCCATTCACTTTTGCAAACTGGATCACTTTTAACTTGAATTCAGCACTGTACAAAAATCTTTTCTGAGCCATTTCTGGGCAGAACATGGCAAAATGTAACCTACCGTAATATACTGGTAACAAGTGCAAAACAATGAGCGCAAAGATAAGCGCGAAAAAGCGGGAAATGCAAGTAAAAAACTCTACAACAATGAGCACAAAAACAAGCATGAAAAAAGTGGAAAATGCAAGTGAAAAAAATCTACCACTGTATAAAACCCATCCAGTTTTTAGATCCCAAATTTTTCGAAAAAGGGTACGTCTTATACATGGGGAAATACGGTAGCACTGTGTGAGTTGTTCCTCAAACCAGATCATCCTACACTGGCCCTGGAACCCTACCTTACAAAAAAATAACCTCCTTTAGGTAGCTTAAATGGTGAACAGACCAGATTACCCTCACCAGAAAAGTCATTAGACAAATCTAACATCAATCTAAAGAAATTGCCAACATAAGTCATTTCCATTAAAGAGTATGTATGAGAAGATTCACAAAACAATGACTGTGGCACAGATTATTAATTCTGAAAAGTTTACTGCTGAAAAGAAAGAACTTAATTAAACACTGGATTCAAGAGAATACAGTTGTCTTAGGATGAGGCACATGTGTACATACTGAAGGTAGAAGGAAAAATAACAGGGAAGAAAGATTATTAAGACTTGAGAAAATGGGTATGTGTATGAAAGGAGGCAACAGAGACAGGTGGTAAATATGAATTTAAAAGAAGGGATATCATGGAGGTGAAAGACGTATAGCGGATATGCTAAAGTGAAGAGAAGAGCTAATAAGAGCACTGACACAGATGGACTCCACATCTCAGTAGGTCAATGCATAGTCTTCAGCAATAAGCATAAGGGAGATCAGAGAAATTAGGGGCTTTAGAACAAGGAATGATGTTTGGAATAACTAAGAGAAGTATGCCTGGTGGTAAAGATGAGACAGGGCATGAATGAATATGAAATATGAATGAGTGACTATGAATGAATGCTGGTACCTAGAGATAAGACACGTTTTATATGTTACAGTAATTATGATCCACTATGCTAGCAATCTATGAAAAAGCCTTAAAAGTAAATATTCTTGTTGTTAAGTCATATATTATGAACAGGAGGAGGGGAAAATGAGCCTTCAAGTGAAAAATATTAAGCCTAATCAAAAATGAACAAACAATGGGGGCAATCACAGAGTTGGCCAAATAACTTACCTGGTCATATCCGTAAGGCCTCTGCTGTGGTGGCTGTGGTGGTCCAGGCTGTGTTGGTCTATACCCCCCATACTGCTGACCTTGTCCCTGTGGGTAGTTAGGATACTGAGGACCTGGACCACCCTGTGAAGGACCTGCAAAGTAATTAACATAAACAAGAGCCCAGATAAAAATATAAGTTCCTAGAACTCTAGAAAGAGTTTAAAACTAGATGTTATATTTTTATATCTGAAATAAAAAGGATGGTTTGGTATCTTGTATTTCTCAAACTCTTTCTGAAATAAATTCCAAAGGTTAAGAGTGAGAATGTTGTAAAAGATACCACCAAGTACCACATGCTTTGATTCAGTGTAACTACTGTTATGCATTAGCCATTAAAAATTTACATGTCAAAATGAGTAAAAGATTCAGGAGTTGTAAGGCAGGTTAACTCCATATTATGAAAATTCACCTATGCCTCTACTAAGTTAACCAGTATAACCAAGAAGTAAAAGAAAAGGCATTAAGCAGGTTCAAATTAAAATACTGAAACAATTTCTGAATGAAGTTGGGGAACCAATGATATTTACTGCTGTATGACTCTAGACTTACACTTGCAATCACCAAAAGAATGATTGACAAAATTATCACATTATTTTCAAGCCGAAACTAAAGAAGGCTTTAAAAGCCACAGGTTGCACGTGGAAAAACTTGATTCAAAAGTTACTCTCTGTGTACCAATCACCTTTAATACTTAATCCATAAAAATAAATTACAGTATTTCAAATTTCAGAGATGGCAAAGGACTAATTTGGCTTGCCAAACAAACACATCTATTCCATAAACTCTATTATTGTCTATTATAAAGCATGTTTTACAAAGCATAAGCTGAAAAGCTTTGATACTTATGTTTTCTATCACAGCCTCAAACCCACCATAAAAAAAATTGACTGCAGAGGAAAGTGCCAAAAGAGAACAATAAATATCAAGGTTAAATAAATTCCATCAGTCTAGTATTTTATTTATTTATTTAATTATTATACATTCAATTATTAAAACTCTAGAACAAAATTTGATAACTGAAATCTATGGATAAGCAAAATGGGAACTTCTTTAGGATTCCTGATGTCTAACAAAACAGCATTTAGCTACTTAAACCAAACTTTTTTAACTTAAACTTAACTTTTTTTATTCTCTTTCCATTGAAAATAATACTTCTCTTAAATCAGTAAATTTACCTGATTTAGCCACGTATTTGTTTCTATGAAAATAGAATAGAACCAGAATACTCTATTTAGTCAAAGTACAAATATTCAATGGTCATTAAATGGAAATACAATTTGAGAAAAGCAAGAAAGTCTCTTTGTAAAAACAAGAAATCCATGGAATATTCCTAAAGTCATATCTGGAATTAGGGAACCAGACCTTATCATTTTGGGGACAATGCCTGACTCCCAGTATCTGACTGAATTTCAATGCATATGTTGAAGGTACGAGAATTTCGACCTGATCCTGGTTCTTAGATTTGCTATCACAAGTAGAGAGAGATGCCATGGTAATAGCAGAGCTTAAATCAATGAGTAAAACTAATAAGGTATTACTGATGTAAAAAAGAGACCATGTTAGCAAGAGATGATGTGAGATTAATAAACACCTACGTTTCTTTCATTAAAACTATATTTTCCTATATCTAAAGTAGTTATAGTAGCCTGAAATTTAAGACTGAGATATCAGGTCCTTATCATTTCCCATTCCTTATCTAATAAAGTTATTTAAAGTCAGATATCCAGCTAGTAGATACGATAGTGAGCATATAATAGGAAAATATAGCTAAAATTCCCCGAAACTCTGTAAGATACACGGCTGCATTAAATATATCCCCCTGTGGATGTGAATGCTATTTAACTAGAGAATGAAAAAAACATTTTCTTTACACATTCTGAATAGATCGATCACATTGTTACTTTAAAAATCAACCTTACTTTTCGTAGTAATAGTCACTAGCTTTAAAAACAAATTTGCTAAGTGGATTTTGTAGATATGGTTTGTAANAAAAGTACTGGCTTGTCATCAATGCCAAATAGGTTTAAGAATTCATATTTCTTGTCTTTTATATGACTATATGGCATACCTTTGGTCAGTGAACCATCTCTAGTTTGTTTCTTTTTAGACTGATTCATAGTTTATCTAAGAACATTTTAAATAAACACCCTAATAGAAGAAGCTAAAATTGTGAATTTTCAGAAATGATAAACATCTACTTTCATATTTCAAAACATTAATCATCATGTTTTGGAGGGACAAAAATAAACTGCAGTAAGCTATTACCGTAGCCCTGCTGCTGTCCTGGATAGCCCTGCTGCCCTGGGTACTGCTGCTGCTGGGGTGGATATCCCTGTTGAGGAGGTGGTCCTTGGTAGGCATCTTGCTGTTGGCCATACTGTGAATTTCCTACAGGATAATTGCAGAAGAGAAATAAAAACTGAGAAGTTTGCTTAATTAAATTTTTTCTCTAAGATGCATAGCCAACAACACAAGAACAAAATAAAATGCCATATTGATTTTTAAAAGTTAACAAAACAAAGAAAAAACTCAAACCAAACAGAAGGATTTCGGCCAAACAAACTGCAGTTAAAGCCAATTTTGCAAGGTTGAACTGCAGCATTTTCAGCGTCTCTGCCATACGAGCATTACATTTACTGGAACATCACAGTCATAAGATCATGACTATGCTAAATAAAATAAAAAAGACAAAATTAAAGACAGCTACAAGAGCACACACTAGCTACACAAAATCAGCAAGCTGTTTCCTAATGGCACTATACTTTTATGTGAAATTATACATATGTAAACACACACAAGAAAAAAAAATTGGATCGATGGATTTATGTTCAAATAGAAAATTTCCACTGAGGAAAAAATTATTTTTAAATGTTTTAGTCTTTTTATTGTTGTTAGAAATGGCAAGTCATGGTTATACATTTTAAATATTTGTAAGGAAATTATTTTTATTGTTCTGGGGTCCCTGTAACTTTCAAGACAGCCAGCAAACTATTATTCTACAAGAGCTTTGCATGGGTAGAAGTTGTCTTATGCAAGAATTTTCGTTCCTTTAGAAGGGGATATATATGTGTATGTGTGTGAAGGTATATAGATACCTCCTTCGTAGTAATGTTGTGAGGAATCCTCATAAGGCCTATCGTAGCCTTGTTCAGGATACGACGGTTGCTGATAACCGTAATCATTATGACCTACATCAATTCGACAAGAGACAGGAAGAAAAGTTAATGGCCACTGAGTGAAAACCCTAAATATATTTAAACTTTCAGATAAAACTGAAAAAAAGAAAAAGAAATGGAAATACATAAAAAATAATTTCAATTGCATTAGCCAAATATTTACCAATGTGACTGTTTCCATATCGAGATAACGTGCAAATTTTTTTAAAGCAAAAAAACAATAGCTTTAGAAACATTACACTTAGACTTAACTCTGATAATCCTCATCGAGAGGAGGGAAAAAAAACTTTATCTTCCATTTTTTTTAAAGAGAATGAAAGTATTTAGGCCTTTTACATGTAAATAACGAATCAAATTAGAATGAACAAAGGAAGCAGTTATCATATTTTCTCAAACACCTGTTCAGCTGGTCGCCAATTCCACAGCATATGCTAAACAATGCAAAATATAAAAGAACTCCATAAGTTTTTTTCCCCTGAAAAAAACTGAAACAAATTTTTCACATTCTATTTACTTAAATAAAATATATGTATCTCAAAATATTTTCAGATGCAAAAATATATTGCTTAATGCTGCCATTCTAGAAGCCTTTAATATTTCTAGAGTAATATATACAAACACCTTCATAAAATTAATATTGTGTTAAGTGCTAGAGTACATACAGCTTTAGTTTTAAGACATGATAAATTTCACCTACAAGATGACTATAGTTCAATGAAAAATCAATATTCTAATCCTTTTAACTAAATTGCACAAAGAAAATGTAGGAAACAACCTTTTGGTTAGCTAAAATCTGAACTACATTTTAGAAGAATGCCTAATTAAGGAAGGAGGAATACAGTTATGAATACATGTTATAGTTATACTCAGTGCTCTAGTATTCCAATGTTCCCAAACCATCTCATAAATATCTACATTAAGGGTTGGCAAATTGTGGTCTGCAGTCTAAATACGGCCAGTGGCCTAGTTTTGTAAATAAGGTTTTACTGGAACACAGTCATGCCCACTTGTATTTTCTATAGCTGTTTTCATACTACAAGAGTTCAGTAGTTGAGACCAAGATCATACAGCACACAAAGACTAAAATATTTACTCTCCGGCCCTTTTATTTACTCTCCGGCCCTTTATAGAAAAAAGTTTGCCAACTCCTAATCTACATATTTATGGGCAAAATATCTAAACATAGTAAGAAAATATTCAATGCTGTCTAAGAATATTAATTATTGTTATAAATGTTATAAATACTCTATGTAAATGTCAAATATTAACAGACACCTGTGCAAAAATGATACCATTTAAATTTTTAAATCCCCTGCTGTAGTTAAGATGACTTATTTATAGTAACCTTAAAGTTCTGATATTTACGAAAATTACATATCTATCTATTTTAAATTTTAAAAATCTTATTTATAACAATACAAATTTCACATTTCAGGAAATAATCAGACCAAACTATCAGTGTCAAATTCAACCAATTACTTAAAACGTATTTTAAAAATTAAACCAATCATTTATATTCAACAGACTTCCTAATATATAAAATTTAACAATTTCACCTTTTAAAAATACCTAGTCTATAAACTTAATGGTTTTTCATTTTTTAAAAAATCTTAATACAATGTCTACATGTGAAAAAAAGCCCACCATTCTGAATAATACAGGACAGTAAAACCTGAGATAAAATAGCAAGTCATTTCTAACCAGAATTATCCATACATATCATCACTATCACTAACATTTATTGTATGCAAAATTCTGTAGGTGTTTGCTCTGCTTCTATAGGCAGAGCCTCTACAGTAAAACCAGTGTCCTTATAGTGATGTACCTTTAGCTTTATACATTAATTACAAATGGCAGGCAAAATAATTTTTTAAATATACCAAATTATATGTTCTTGCTAGCTAACATTAGTTTCTAATCAATGGTCCCAACACTTTAGCTTTAAATTCTTAGTTTCCCCAAGTTTCTCTGTTAAGTGGTTTACCTTAAATACACCAAGAAAGCTTACTATATAAACGAAGACTTTGGCAAATCCTTTAATAACAATCATTTTGTAAAGTGACTAACCACGTCTAATTTGTCAGTTTCATATGTGTGGATTGTTTTTTTCTTCACCATTTTATTATAAATTTTTCAAACATACAGAAAAACTGAAAGACCTGAAACCATACAGTGAAAGCCTACTTGGGTACTTGGATTGTTACTAAGCAGGTGCATCTTTACAATCCCTTTTTCACAAGCCACCTTCCTACTAAAAATATATACCATTACACTAAATCACTAAAATTAAAGTCTGGTTTCCAAATACTTTTTCTGTTCTATTAACTCTATGTACAACTATATTACGGATCTAATACAGCCTCCAAATTTTTCTCAAATCAAATGCTAATGTATATAAAACATCGTTCTTTAAGAAGTATGCAACATTAACTAAAATGATGAAAACATGAGGAAAAAACTCAAGAAATTCTACGTATTTATACAGTGCATAAAAGTAAACCAATAGGTGAACTTTACGGTATGTGAATCATCACAATAAAGCTGTTATTTAAAAGAGTAAATCAGAAAACACTGGCATTGGTTCAAACGAACAATTCCAAATATGAAAGGATCCTCTTTTATATAATAAAGGGTTCCAATAACAGAATGTGATTCCTGATGGTACTAATATGGAATACTAAACAAAATATATTTTGAAATAGATTATAAACTAATGCTATCATTGGTGCTTTAGATTACTGAAGTGTTCTAAATTTAGAAGAAACATAGTGTTAGTTTCTTCATCCACATTAAAATGTTTTGAATGGCTATCTACATCAATATTGGGCAGGGACAGAAAATGGGAAAGTTAACAGTAGGAGAGATTACCATCAGGGTAATATTGCTGGTTCATGCCTTCTGGAGGACCTTGTCCACCATGACTGTATTGGTCCCCATAATAGTCTTCCTGGCCTGAGTACTGCTGTGGTGGGCCTGAAAAACCACAACCAGTCAAGATGTAAACAATTTGTTCTCTAGGTCATCAAAGACTTTCGTTTTAATTTGATGTTATGAGAGATTATTTCTTAGCTGACGATTCCCCTCCCATGCTTTGGCATTTCATATACTTTTAACTATTCTCATACACATACATACATAAACAGCCAACACCACACACCGCATTTCACGAAAATTAATGTTAAGACTATACATGCAATATCAAACAATATCAACTCCAAAAAACAAACACTAACTTACTATAAAGAGGGTTAAACTGGTAGAAAATTAATTCTTTTTATTTTGATATTAGAGCAGTTTGAAATAAATTCATGTTTGTTTCTACCATATATTTAGTAACTTCTCAAAAATAAAACAGTATTTTCTGCTGTAAATAAGCCTTCGATATAAAATTTTATGATGTAACCTTTTCCCAGAAAAGAATTTAAAAAGCTGTATACCAAGTAGTTCCTATCCAATCCATAGCCCTTTGTACTTACTGTATCTACTACCTTTTAGGGGAAAAAATGTAATTTAAAAAAAAATTTTTTTTTTGAGAAAAGCCCTGACTCTGGCTAGATAAAAAGTTTATTAGAATGTAAAGTCTTTCAACTACTGTCATTTATACTAAGCAGGAAATATTCCAAAGGGAACCTTACCCTGTTGAGGTGGTCTATAGGGAGGAATCTGTCTCTGACCCATCATATGATTGCCTTGGTTAACTTGACCCATCATTCCCATAGGTGGCTGCTGGCCTTGGTAATGCTGCCCACCTCCCTGTGGCATATTGTATTGTTGAGAAGGAGGCTGCTGATGCATCATTGGACCTGAAAACAGAAAAAACATTATGCACATGATTTTTTTACATATAATTTTAACACTTAAGAAATAAATTTTTTATCATATAATCCCCAAAATATATAATTCATTGTAATAAAAACTGACTTCAAGTTAATAAAAACAAATCTTTGAATTAAAAGTCCACATGCCTAAAGTAATCTGCAAACAAGGGGAAACAACAGATCCATGGTAGGTGACTTGAAATCCACTGGAGGAGGATTCTAATAATTTAAAAAAAAAAAACAAAGTAGATACAATATATGAACATCCTGAAAATATGTATTTTTCATTATGTATCATATAATATTTATCTGTACAACCTTTCTAGAAAAGACAGAATCCTTATGCCACACAAGAAAATACACCAAAACAAAATAAACTTCATAAAAATCACACAGCAAATTGTAGTCAAACAAAGAGAAAGAAATCTAATTTTTGAATATCGATTTTTTCCCCTTTCAATGCCACTCATTATATAACAATGGGAAAACTACACAAACATGTATAAATATACAGACGTTTGCAGAACTTCCTGAACTTTCATTTTAGACAAAAGTTTAAAGGGTGTTCTTTTCCTTTTCCAACTGTAAGATTTATAAACTAAAAAGGTCTTCCTAAAATCAAAGGGTGGTAGTGCTTCTTAATATGTTCTAACATACACACAATCAAAAACACCTAGGCAGAGAAATGCAATATGCCATACACTCAGAAATCAGAACTAGTTTCCAAAGTGAGCAATACCTAAGTAGCCAAACTACTACTGCTATAGCATCACATTGGGAACAGTAAAAATATATCACATGAAATAATTAACAATAGCCATCAAGTTCTGTGTTACCAGCAAACTATTAAATAGTTCCTCAAAGATTCACTGGCCCAAGCTATGATATGGGGAGTTCATCATTATAATCATTATTGTCTCAGAAGTATGTATGAGTCATCCCAGTTTACTATTTAAATAGCTACACACTCCCCTTTTACTGACTTGAGGACAATTTAAGAAGTACAAAAGGCAAAGGACTAGAGCCTAGAAAAGTTTACTGGCAAAATTGCCCAGATGAACTAAAAGCTTTATTTAAATAAAAACTCAAAACAAAACACACTCACTTCTTTAAATATATTACTGACCTAAAATAGCAGCAATAATGTAAACAAAGAATTCAACTCTTTTCCAATTTGAAGAACTGTGTTATCTATAGAAGTACTTTATCAGACCTCTTTTTCTCCTATCCACATTCTACTGGTCTACCTTTCAAATTCCTTTTGCTTCCTAATTTTATCACCAGTATCTGCCTTCAAAGGTTACTCTGGGATTTTTCTTTCAACAAGGAAATAAACTCTTTAATAGTTGGGAGAAGGTGGCTCAGTGGAGAGTGGAGGGGAAAAGAAGTTAACATTAAATACACTTAACTGCCAGACATACTTTGAACATTTATTTCATGTAAACTATTAACAACTACCACAGGAAAGGATCCTGTTTTTAAGGTTTTAGCCAAGGAATCCAAAGATCAAGATTTTGCAGCTAATAGGTATCAAGTGGGAATAAGACAAACACAAGTCTGATTTCAAAGCACATATTTATTCCAGTATTCTTCACTGCCTCTACTCACGCTACAGCAAATTTAGTTCAAAAGCAAATTATGCAACAGAAAAGTTCTAAAACACTAACTAGTTTAACTAAAAATTAATTTTTAAAATATATTTTGTATGTAATGAAGTATTGAAAACTAGCATGTATAATTTAATAAGCAGCATGATTGGGCATTTGTGTAAATGAAGGTGTCTTTCTTCTCCAACACTGATTAACGACCTCTTGTCTTAACAGAATGTAACTATAACACTAAGGCATATAATATGTATTAGAACCAAAATTAAAAATAAAGAAAGCAAAAACATAATGGCCAGGGGGAAATCCAAAAGGATACAATAACAACAAAATTCTAAGCATTGCTCTAAAGTAGAGGAGTATTTCTAGCGTAGGCCCTAGATAGAAAAGACCATGGGCACTTGTGCTTTATCTTTTGGGACTGTCAGCAGTTCCAATCCCAAAGAGCTCAATTACCACCCTTCCTTTATTCTTCGTCACTTCTTTCCCTCTGAGCATCCTCAGCATCATTCAGGATCAAGCTTAAAACCACAGAGAATGGAGGAGGATAGCACTGCTAAAACACAAGCTTTTCATCTTTTTCCTTGAAGACTTATCTATTAAAAAAAAATTATGACTTCAATCCTGACTGTTTAGGAAGCATATTATTTTCCTTATGATAATGAAATATGCTACAGTGGCAAATGTGTATTATCCCTTGAGATACCAATGAAAATAAGAGAGCTCAATCTCAAAAGGTTACCCCAAAATAGGTTCTAAAAATTTGTACTACACAGTGAAGATTACAAATGAGTCTATTATAACCATTTTCTACAAACAATAACATCACACATTACTATATGCTTAAAGGTTATTCTTCATCTTGTACATTAATCATTTTGATGCTAAGGTGCACACTACAAAGTGTAATATTACATATGCAAAGATACTACTATCTTAATTATCAACAATGTTTTAGTAAAAGTGTTTTAAAAGGGCATATATAATAACAAATGTTCATCACCACATTATTTCTTTCCATTTTGACTTTGAACTCTAACAGATATTCTATGGAAACGTTGTATATCTGAAACACATGTAAAATATTTCCAAATCACCATATTTCACATTACTGGGATTCTTTGCTCCAATGTAACAGTTAATACTTAGTTGTATCTTAAGTTACCAGAAGAATTTTTTAACTAACATTAAGTTTTAATTAATCTGTAAAGAATTCAGAATTATGTAATTTTTAAAAATTCTATATACATATACATACATACATATATGCATATATATATTCACACCTTCAGATGCAAACCAATACACTAAAACTCTGTAAATCGTTAATCTATGAATTATTTTAAATAAAGGTTAAAAATGACAGTTAACAGTTAATGAGCACTTATTATGGGCCAGACTTACTACACTAAGAGCTTTATGTCTTTTATCCTCCCTAAACCCTACAAAACAGGTAGTATTATTATCAACCTGACTTTACAGGTAAGAAAATTTAACACTTACAAGCATTAAGAATCTTACGTAAAGTTGCATAACTAGTAAATGGTAAGAACTCTAAAACCATGCTCTTAAACACTATGTGTACCTCCTCTCCAAAGTCAAATCAGACTTCTCCTATGTAATATCCCCCAGGAAAAGAGTTCTATATAACATTATCACTATAATATAAAAATCCTAAAATACAAAAATTCCTTCACCCCACCTATATCTGTGTTTTAAGAATTAAGATTATGAAACTGTGTATCTTCAAGCCTATTTTCTCATTCATATTTCTTCATCTGCGCACATATTATTACCTGTTCCTTAACCATTTAATCTCAAAATAAACCATTTACAGCTCTCACTTGAAGGTATTACTAACAGTTTTCTTCCAAGACAGAAAAATTTCTGTATTCCAGCAAACTCAATTAGCTAGCCCAATACCTTTTAAATAGCCATTTAAAATGAATAGGATTCTTTACTTACCTAAAACATACAGCTGTCCTCATCAAGAGTTTTAAATAGTTCATAAAAAGACGTTAGGTACAATACCAAGGATAAAAGAACAGCCAAGTCACGATGAAAATCCTAGAAGCTTAGTCAAGTCACGTTGTATAACTAGTACAAGCTGAGTTTCCAAGCAATCAGTGAAAAACTAGAACCATGACAGGTTTTAGATAGTAAAAAGAGTAACAGTTCATTAAGAGATATAAACTTTTATATAACATGAAAGTTTGAGAGATATTCTCATGAATATTAAAACGTATTAAAACATTAATAGTATAGCTTTTGTTATTGTTATTTCTTTCTTTAGTAACGCAGACCATTCTTATATGTAGTTCCTTACATTAACCATTTCTTAAAGCTGTGATTTTCAACTGTGGGCAAGATTTTGTCCCCCAAAGGACATTTAGCAGTCTGGAGACATTTTTGGTTGTCATAACTGGCTACTGCCACCTAGCGGGTACAGGAAAGAAATATTGCTAAATATCGCACCATGCACAGGACAAGCCCCAACAAAGAATTACTCAGCTCAAAATGGCAATAGTGCCAAGTTAAGAAATCCTGTAGCTCAAGGGCATAATTTTAATCATAAGAATCTCTATAAACTAGTTTTAGATTTAGATTATGTATGTAGCTTTCTGGTGATTTGAAAACTGGAAAAGGGATGTGTTGTATGGCTTAATGAATTCAGCAAAATAAAAGACTACACAGTTTCTTAGAGTAAGACAACCTCTCAGATAATTTCAACTATACTATATAATTCAAAAATGAAGTCACTGGTAAAAATCTATTGTAGACTGACAGGAACTCAAAAAACTCTCGGATTATGTGGCACAAGTGACAATCTGCTGTGAAAGTAAATATCCTATCTTGCCCAAGGAAAAAGTCATGAAAATGGGCTATATTAGAATGTATAGCCTGGTTTCACTTAGCATGAAAGCTGACAAGTTATGAATCATGACACAAAAGAGTATCTAGCCCAGAAAAATTCTAAGGGAATGACTAGAAATAAGCATGAGTTTAAAAATTTGCTAAAATGTAATTTATAAAATTTACTCCTAGCGATTCTGGTTTAGCAGGCATAGGGTGGGACAGACAAATCTTATTTTAACAAGAACTCCAGATGATTCTGAGCCAGATAATCCCAGAACCACACACTGAGACAGAGTTCTAAGGGGAAAAAATAACCAATTAACCCCTTTTACCATAAAAGCTCGATTATGGTTCATATAAAACATTTAAAATTGGAGAGCTTCTTTCCATAGCGCACTTAGGATATTAGCTACAAAATGAATCCTAAGGGGTTTGTGTTACAAATATAACCAAAACTCACTGAGTGATACACTGAATACTTGTGCATTTCATTCGATATAAAGTTACCTAAAGAAAAAAAAACATTAATAAAATAAAAATAAAAAAATGGGGCCGGACGAGTGGCACGATGGTTAAGAACTGGCTTGGGATGCCAGAGGTCCCCGGTTCGGATCCCACATATGAGGGCCAGTGACACTGCCCTCCACAGCTAAGATGCTGAACAACAGCTCAACCTGGAGCTGGGTTGCCATGAGTTGCCGGCAACGGCGTAGGCTGCAGCCCCTGTGGCACTGGGTTGCCATGGGCTACCGTGTGTAGCCAGCAGCCAGCGTGAGCGGCCAGCAGCCACAGTGAGCGGCCGTCCAGAAGCCGGCGACTGATCTGCCTCGCCCGGGAAGAGCGCAATGATGGTGCCAACTTGGGCCAGTGAAGCAACGTCCTCCACAACTAGACTGAAGAACTAAACGACAGCAACTTGTCTGTTCCCCTTCCCCCAATTCCCCAGCACTGTTCCCATCCTCCAATTCCCCAATTAAAAAAAAAAAAAATCTTAAAAAAAAAAAATCAAAAAATGTTGAGCTCTAGTAATACGCAGACTAAAGTATTATGGGTAAAGTTTACAAATATCTGCAATTTACTCTGAAATGTATTTTGAAAATTAAGACACACTGATGAATGAGTAGATGGACAGATGATTAACAAATTTAAGAAAATATTAACTGTAGAATAGAATACAGGTAGCAACTATACAGGTACAAGTCCTTCAACTTTTCTGTATGTTTGAAATTTCACATAATAAAATATTGGCAGAAAATTTTTAAATTAACCCTAGAAGAATATATAAAAACTTCTCAAAACTCAACAGTAAAAAACAAACAAACCAACTAGAAAATGGGCGAAAGGCATGAAGAGACATTTCCATGAAGAGGATACATAATGGCAAATAAGCACATGAAAAGGTGTTTAGTATCAGTGGCCATTAGGGAAATATAAATTAAGACTACAATGAGGCATCACTACATATTTTTAGAATGGCTAACATAAAAAAAATATTGACAATACCAAACACTGACAAGGATTTGGAGAAAGGAGATCTTTCATACATTGCTGGTGGGATTGTAAAATGGTACAGTTACTTTGATAAGTCAGCTTGGCAGTGTCTAAAAAAGCTAAATATACACTTACCATATGATCCAGCAATTGCACTCTTGGGTATTTATCCCAGAGAAATGAAAACGTACATCCAAATAAAAACATGAACATGAACATGTACACAATTGTTCACAGTACCTTTATTTGTCAAAGCCAAAAACTGGAAACAACCAAAATGTCCCTCAATAAGTGAATGGTTAAACAAACTGTAGTACATCCATAACATGGAATGCTGCTCAGCAATAAAAAGGAATGAACCACTGATACATGCAACAACTTGGATATTAAATATGCTGAGTAAAAAAATCCTATCTGACAAGGTCACATACTGTATGAATTCATTTACATAACATTCTGAAAATGACAAAATTATAGAACTAGAAAGAAGAGTAACAGTGCTTGTCAGGGACTCGAGATGATTGGAGGGAGGACACAGGGTCTCTGTACTACCTTTGCAATTTCCTATAAACCTATAATGTTTTCAAAATAAAAAGTTTTTAAAAATGAAACATAGTGAAACTGAATTTATAACCTGTTGAATAGAAACATACCTGAATTTTATCTTCCAAACCCAAAAGGTTTTGGTATAACTGACAATCATCTGTTTTACCTGACAGTAACTGACAGTTCCTTCTTTGATTCATTCATGATATAACAGCTGATGGATGAAAATACCACAGAGAAGGATGCTCATTTTCTAATTTGTTACGGCAAGGAAAAAAACCTAATCTACAGTCAACAAATAGGATAAAGTAGTGACAAACAAAGATACAGTTCCTGACTCCATAGAGTTTAGATAGAGTCTAGGGAAAAATAATTAAACAGGTATTTACAAATAATTATGTAATTACGAATACTCAAACTGCTGCTACAAAGAACCTAAGTAAAAGCTACTTAACTTTACATAAGTGAAGTAGACTGTACCTTGTCTATGGAGTCATTTAAAACTTACAGAGCAAAATTATAGGTGATTTTTTTTATTTTATGCTCTATGGTTTTCCACATTTTCCAGATTTTTCATATTAAATATTATTTTTATAACCAAAAAAAGTCATCATTGGGGGAAAAAATTACAAACTTGAAAAACTCATCCAATATAGCAATATTAATCAAATGTATGGACAAAACATCTGGTCTAAACTACAATGTAGCTGTACATCCCTAAAACTATAACAAACAGAAATCTGCAATACTAGCAATACTGGATAGAGATTTTCCAATTTAATAGTGAAGAGAGATGAGTACACAAAGTACCTTTTTATATCAGAGTTAACAGTATGAATTAGCAGAACACTTTTTACTTTTTTTAAACAATCAAAATGATAAATTGTAAATGTATATCTGTCCTTATGATTAACTTCAGGTTCCTAAATTACAATGATAAGGTTTTTAGACGAGTTACTTTTATTCCCCTTAATTTCATTTTCAAAGTTGAGAGAGAAAGAAGAAAGGGAAGAAAGGGTAAAAAAGCTACTTCAAAACTATCAGAATAAATGCATCTAGAATTTGACTTGCAATGCTGTTTAGAAACTACCACATCACCAGTTAGTTCCCAAGTATGTCACTTAACTAATTAACAACTATTAATATAATAATTAAATAATTGCCATTTCATTGTTCCTTTTTCAAACAAAAATTTCACCATTAGTCTTTCTCCTTTTTTTTATTGTCATTTGACAGAGGTTTAATCTAAGAAATACAACAAATATTTCTTTTCCACGACTAACTAATAAATCTCTTTATTAAAAATGGTGATTAGCTTTAATACTTTTCTAGTATCTCCTGATGTATGTCTATGGAGATAACCAGAAGAATTTAATAATTTGTTTTTAACTCAAAGAATAGCTAACTGTTAGGAGAAAATTTTAAAAGTCAAAAGTGTTTCCTTTTATAAATTTTTGGTATTTTTCAAGCTTTTAAAGACTATATTTACAATGTAGTTTCCTCTAATTTCTTCCACCTATTTAACAAAGCAGAAAAACTTTAATGTAAAACATGTAGTTCATTTTTGTAAGCTATCAAAAAAAATGATTTCTAATGAAATAAATATTAAAACTTCAAATAAAACTTTCATGATGCCAAACAATTTTTTTATCCAACACGTACATAAATTATTTTTATAAGAAATTCATATGATTAGGAAAGGAATATTGCTAGAACCTAGTATAATTTTCTTCTTTTTTGGGGGAGTGGAGAGGGAGTAATTGTAATTTTCTTTGGTATTCTTTGATTCTGAAATACCAAAATTTAACTGAAAGTTTATTTGTCCTGAAGAGATTTTTTAAAACATTGAAAATTCCTTCACTTATTTCCACTGTAGTCTCTCTTTGAAAAGTAACTTTTATTTCTTTAAATCAGATCCCTACTGTCATTTTCTGTACTGTGTATTTTCTATTACAAAATTCATAAATTATGAGAACAAAGCAAAAAAAAATTACTATAATAAAAGGAAAAAATTATACATGAGTACAAAATACGACATTTTTAAAAAGAATAGCTGATCCCTAAGTTTAAAATGAAAAATTCCGATAAATACTGTACTTTCTCCAAAAACAATAACTATTTTCTTTCTATATGCACATTGCTGCAAGCTTTATTTTTTCCTTCTTCAAATCTTATGATGTCATATCAAACTACACTGCAGCAATATTTTTTGTATACACCCTAACTTTTCTTAACTACTTTCTAGTATGCCATCATTATTATAGTTGCTGTCCAAATTACTATCAATTTTCTTGCTCTCTCTCCTGGTAACCAACTCTATGGAGAGACATCTAAACTCCATTCTGACCTAGCACTGACTGGATCTTGCTATTGTTTTGAATCTTTAATTGACCTAGTGAAAAAATACTCTATCGTAGGCACTAAACAACTTTGGAGAAAAATATGGAGCAAGCACCAATTTTGTGAAACTATATTCAATGACAATTTATTCTATTATATCCCCTTTGTTTTCAGTGCATCTCATCAAAATTATAGAAAATTCCTGTATTATTATTGAAAAATTAGAAAATATTATTGCATAAGATTAACATTAAATTCCTTTATCTGGGTTCACTTCAGTGATTTGTTTTTCATAATCAAAATCTATTAAAATTTTACTGCAAATACATTAAATCTATCTTATACTTTTAACCTCACCACATTTTTTCACTAAAATAGCTTTAGGTTGGCAATATGCCAAATGTTTTAACAGGCAATTAGCAGAACAGAGCACCACTTACTGGTTTTTAGTTATTATTCACAAGAATACTTAAAAGAGAAGCATGATAACAATTTGATTCCCTGAGATTGGTAATAAACTTTAATAGACCTCACACCACTCTAATACAAGAATATAGAAGCACCTCCACTAAACATTCTAATAACAAATTATGTTACAGTTACCTTTTAATGCTGAAACACATCAGAAAACATCTACATAATTTGAGGAAAATTCATAAATTAATATAGCCTTAATAAGTAAAATGAACCACAGAGTAGATGTTTTGTAAGGAACTGTATTTACAGCAATAAAATTATATGTTCTTCAATTTTCTAGCTTTAAACCAAATGTTTGGTTATTCACTGATTAGTTTTTTTTTAAATCCAAAAATATAGAACCTCAAATAAACTGTGCAAAAGACATAAAAATAAATAAGTTTAAAAAGCTAAATTAAGTAATTTAATTTCTAAATGTAAAGAAATTATTTTAAGCTTGTTTCAAACTCAACGTTCCTTTTTTATAGGTATAACTGTTACTTCAAACTTCCATTTTTATGCATCAGCTAACAACATGAGAAACTTGTTTTATTTTCAAAGGCTGATGTAGCATTCTAATTAAGAATAACACAAAGTTACCTTGATTTGGTTGCATATTCATATTTGGTCTGGGGCCATAGTTTCCCATTGGTTGCCCCTGGCTCATTGTCATCTGATTCTGTACTGGCATGCTCTGTGATGATGGCACGGAATGGTTGTAACCTCCCATAGATCCATGGCTACTTGAAGGCATGTTCATGGAACTGTTTGTCATATTGAGTTGATTGGGTCCAGGTCCCTGCATAGGCATATGGTTAGGCCCTTTGAAGAAAAGTGATCAGAACCAAAATATGAAAGTTAAACAGATGTTCTATACAGAAATATCTTTAAAGATTTTTATTTTTGCATTACTATAATAATACCAAACAGTAACTTTAGTATTTAATCAATAGCAAACAAAGAAAATGCTTTACATGAATGATTAGCAAATACTGTGAGGTGGATATTATTCCTATTTTACAGATTAAAGAAACTAATGCTTTTGAAAAGCCAGGAACATTCTGAAAAACAGGAGTAATGAGGGAGAACTAGCTTTACAAGAGAGCAAACATAAAGCTGGAATACTTAAAAGTGTGTACTATTAGCACATAAGTAAACAGATCAATGAACCCAGAGAGCAAAGTCTAAAAACAGGCCCAAATGCATAATTTAGTAAATGATTATAGAGGTGATATTAAGCATCAGTGGGCAAAAGAAAGATAATTCAATAAACGGTGTTGTGACAACTGAGTAGCCATCTGGAAAAAAATAAGTTGAAACCCTACCACATTACTTCCACCTAAACTAATTCCAGATGAATTTAAAAACCTAAACATTAAAAATGAAAAAAAAATGAAATTGTAAGAGAGAATTTCAGAAAGAATTTTAAAAATGATCTTGGAGTGGAAGGGCCTGCTTAAGAATGCCAGAAAATCCAGAGCCATAAGACTGATAAACTAGACTACATGAAAATAAAAACTTTGAGTAAGACCAAAAATTTTTAAAAAATAAATAAAAAATATACTGGGAAAACAATGTTTCCAAGACATATATATTACAGACCAAACTAGTTACTTAACATATAATATAAATGAGACTGCAAGCAGAAAAAGAGCAAAGGACATGAGCAACCAGTTCACACACAAAAAATATAAAAAGGGTTAGAAACACAGAAAGACTGCTTGCTTCGCTTATGGTATAAAAAGGCAAAAACTATGAGGCCCATTTTCATCTTTCAGATTCACAAAGATCAAAAGTTTTGATACGACTATATTACAAAGTACTTTCACACATTGTTCAGACTATATAAATACTATTTTTTACGTACAGCAATTTGGCAATGACCATCATATGTTAAAATGTATACACCTTTAACTTAGCAATTTCAGTTCTTGAAATTTATCCTATAAATATACAAGTTTTTGTGTGCATGTGTATATAGATGCAAAATTGTGTTTGTTTACCTAATTATATTTTACAGATATATATGCAGCAGCATAGTTTTTAATACCAAAAGACTAGAAATGACCTATGCTTCTATAATAAGGGAACTGCTAAAAGAAATTAGAGGCATCCATAAAAAGAATGCAATGACATCACCAAAAATAAATAAATAAATAAATAAAAATGGGGCAGCTCTTTATACACTGACTGGTCTCCAAAATACATCTTTATATACTTATGGTCTCCAAGACACACGTTTAAAGGGGAAAAAAATGAAATATAATGTTATCTAATGTATGCTACTTTTTTGTTTTTAAAAAAAGACGAGAATACATATTCTTAAAATATGTATAACATATACACATACGTTTTATATACAGAAAATATCTCTTGAAGGACAACGAGACACCAATGACTGGAACGAAGTGTCTGGAGAGGTGGAGGCTTATATACCTTTTGGTACCGTTTGATTTTGGTACCATATGCATTTACTCTAGTCCAGCAGTTCTCAACCTGTGGGTCGCGACCCCTTTGGGGGTCGAACGACCTTTTCACAGGGGTCGCCTAAGACCATTGGAAAACAAAAAGATATTTACATTACAATTCATAACAGTAGCAAAATTACAGTTATAGAATAGCAACGAAAATAATTTTATGGTTCGGGGTCACCACAACATGAGGAACTGTATTAAGGGGTCGCGGCATTAGGAAGGTTGAGAACCGCTGCTCTAGTCTTTTTTTTTAAATCAGTTAACGTTTTAAAAAAAAGAAACTGAGCTTGAGAGGTATTTTGACCAAGATTAAACAGCATATAAATAGCTCTACAACTTAAGATTATAAAATATTAAAAACTAAAATAGTAAATGTAAAGTATATGTATTAATTTGTGTACATAACAGTTAACTAAATGTTATAAGGAATTTATTAAAAAAAGAAAATATAAATAACTAGACTTCCAATTTCTCCCACACCTAACTATAACCATCTATAAATTGTTTTGGAAGCTCTACAGTATTTTGGACAACCTAGGTCATAACTGATTAAAAATCTCTGGTTTATAAATAATAACTGTTCCAGACGGCCTTACACAAGATGGCCTTACACAAAAACCAAAATATCATGTTAACAGTAATTATACTGCTGCTAAACTCCTTCTTTAGCCTTAGGCTTGAATGTTATATGGACAAGTTAATTCGAAATCTTAATTAAAGGTACCACTATAAAAAAACAACAACAACAAAAAAAACCCAACAAAACTTCTAACTTGCTAACTTGTATTATCACTACCCTTCCAGTTCTACAAACATTGTGTCCTGATAAGCTAAATGTGGATTCAGCAAGAAGATTCCTCCTGACTACAACCTGACAAGTAGTTATGTCTTTATTCCTACCTCCATACCAGTGTGGGCCACTGATTGTGGCAAGCTTTAGTAGGAAATAGAAGATAACCACTGAAACACCATGGCCCTTCTATCTGATCAATCACACATCAATCTTCTATTAAGCAGGCTACTTGGGCCTTTGCTCTGTGCTCTCTTTGGCATGGCTGTCTACACCCATCGACCCTGGACACCAATGCTACCAACCAATACAATCAGCTAAGATGAAACTCTCCTAAGGATGCTAATTACTAATTTTAAAAACAAATTGTTGTTATTTTAATTTACTTTCATTACTGCTATTTGTATAATACTTTCTTTTAGCTAATTAAAATAACCTTTGCCTTTAGAAAGTAAAAATATTCTTGTATTAAATGTAGAAAACACCCCACCAAATATTATAAGTATGGGCTGTGGCTGTTACAAAGCCAAAATAGTGTAAAGGTACTTTTCAAATTAAAAATTCAAACCAACAAAAGGTAACAAAATAAGCATCTAATGGCTTGAAAGATATTCTAAGTGGCTCTAAAACTAAGAATGGATAAATAGTAAAGGGAATGGCTCATTATATAAGAAAACTGTCATTATTTTTCAGCTTTTAATTTTGTTTTAATGTCAATTTCCATATTTATATTGTTATAAATATACGTATTCATACAAATCTATACTCGGCCCCAATAGTATCAATGAGGAAATGCTAAATACATTAGCACTTAGAGATTGTTTTGTTTCTTTTCCCTATGTGTTTTTCTAGCACTACTGTTTCTGAGACCAATAAATTTTTAATACAAAACTCAAGGAAATGTTATAATACCTTTTTATAAACAGAATTTAATTCTTAAGCCTCGCACAATGCTTTTTTTTTCCAAAAAGCTTCTAAAGCCAGCTGCATTGCATAGTTTCAGACAGACTAAATTTAGCCAGTTCTGTTCATCAGAGGAATGCTGTGTGTCAGCTACATCAAAGCCCAAGGGCAGCCTGATAAACACTGAATACAGGTCACGTAGCTCTGTAGCTAACAAACTCTAAGAGAGCTTGTACTCGGGGGCATTCAAAGCAGTTTTGTCATCAACAATCTAGTATCCCTTGAGCCCCCATGTCGTTTCAGTTGCTAAGCAACTCTGGTGTTAATGTCTTAGAGGAGAAAAACTTACCAGGCATCTGGCCGTTCATCTGGTTCTGCATGTGTGGTGCAGGAGGACCCCCACCTACCATTCCATCTGAAGGCATGTTGTGAGAGCGTGGAGGTGGGGGAGGGCCGCTCTGATTCATCCCTCCAGGACCCATAGGCATATTCTGTGTGGGTGGCTGAAAGAAGACAGTTTAGTAAAACAAGAAACAGTCACACTAATATATTAAAGATGCATATGGTATAACAGTTGCCTATATTATTAAATTAGGAACAAATCCACATATGCATTTCAATTTCTTTTAATGCATTTTAATCATGGACTTACTAACATCCTATTTAATATGCCCCCAAAACTTCACAAGATCATTAGCATGAATATATCACCTGACCACCTTGGACCAAAAGAACACAACAAAAGTATATTTTGCTCAACAAAATCTCAATAATGCAATAAAAAACTTTAACATCCTATACAAAAAGAACTTTCATTTATATATGTATAAAGATTTCTAATGTGTCCATTGTTAAATTGTTTTGAAAATTACGTCTCTTATCATTATTTGGATGTATTTTCTATTAATGATGGATTTTACCTGAAAAGATACAGGAACAAAAAATTATTAAAGAACCAGAGCCCCCAAATGTAATATACTTTATACTGTTTGGGGTGTGTGTGGGGGGAAGAAATGTTGGCAGGGGAATGCTTTAAACTACGAAGACTCAGTTCAGCCTAACATTTCTGTGCCGACTGCTTCTATAGATTGGAAACATTACTGATGGCCTCCAAGGGTACGGAGACAGCTGCCTCAAAAGGATGCCTTTGGCAAATTTCCTAATGAAAGTGTGAAGAAAATCACTGCCTAACCTTGAGAGTTCACAAAAGGGCGAAAGGAAAAACACAGATACAAGATGGTCTGCAACACCTGGCTCCCTTCTTGGGGTATTTTGGTGGAGAAAGCAAACGGTTAGTTTCTTTCCAAGCCCTCATTTTTAAGCCTGAAGGGGGACAGGAAAGTATTATTCTTTACATATCTATTTCTGCCTTCTTTCTCTACTTCTCTATGTTCTAAACATAATGTCTATCCCTATAACTTCAGTCATTCTCTTTCTCCCACATTTTTAGATGGCCAGTTACTATGTCTGTACTACCTAGATATTGTAAACACAGTTCTCTCCGGCAGTTAACAGATATACATTGCTTTTAGCCATCCCATGTAAACACTCAGATCTCCAACCATAATTACTAGCTTTTACAAGATAATCAGGTGCTACTCTAACAGTACCTACTTAAAATTCATAATCTTAATTTCTTCACTACTAAATCCAGACATTAACTGCTTATTAAACATTTTCCCAATTCTCATCTGAAATTCTTTATTCAATTTGTATTCTTTGAACACTTAATTACATTGCTCAGTTTTCAAAAAAGTTACCAAACATTAACTCAGAGTCACATATCTTAGTTTAAAATTATTCTTTATTTACCATCCTTCAAACATGGCTGGCCTTAACCATCTCGTTTGAAAATAAAAATCTTTCCTCCTATATTTGTGTCCAAATTTTCTATTGAAAATTCATATTCTCATTCTCAATAGGTATACATTTTAAAATTCATAAAACATCAGTATTCGTGGTTCCCATCATAACAGAGTAGCTTGTCTCAAATCCTCCTGCTAGTATGTTATCTAGACAAATGTAAAATCTGTTTGAAAACACTGACGGGCACTGTACACAGAAAGGAATAGGAAGAAGGGTTACAACTATTGAAAGAAGGGAAGCATAGAAGATCAGCTCCATAATCACTTGGCTTTTCCTCTGATTTTACTGTATAATAGGAAAATAAGAGTCCAAGTAGAAACTGGCAATTCTACTGGACTGAGAAGAGTTTTTGGCTATCACAGAGTTGGAAAATAAAGAGCAAAGCCTCAGAGAGAAAGAACCACAAAGAGGGGGGGAAATTCAAGAAAACTAACAGAGAACAGCAGTTAGGTTAAAGAGTGGAGCAGAGATTTTAGCTTCTGTCCAGTGCTAAAGAGAAAAAACTGGAGTATAGGTCCCACCAAGTTAAAAAGGCCTTGATAAATAACTGAAGTCCTCTTATTTAAGACTTCAAAAAAAGTCTCTCCTTTAGATTAAGGTCAAAACTGAAATAGGTCAACCCTAACAAGTCTTATAATCAATCATCAATAGGCTCAAGGTGATTTCATAGTACTTCACCTACCAAAGTAAAAGCTTAACTCTTTGGAGGAAAATAACACCAAATAGAGCCCCTACAATTGTTTGTTCATAATGTCTGGTATTCTGTTAAAAATTACAAGGCATGTGATTGCAATCTGGGTGTCTAGTAATCAGCACTGTATAACTACGGAGGACTACATAGCCCCAAAAGCCTGCCAAGCCATGTGTGGACCGGCAGGAGTCAGCTTACACTAGGTGCTGAGAGTGAGAAGTGCGGATTCTGAGTTGCTGGTGTGGATTCTGAGTTGCTGGTGTGGTGGTGTGAGCGGTGCTCAAGGGGAGACCCCGAGACAGAAGTTTGGTTACACTGTTAAATGAATCATTTTAACCGGAATGTTAGACCGAAGACAGTGCCGCGGATTGAGCGCTCCCACATCTGACATGCCTGGAACCATACCAAGTCAGTACGGCGGAACCTTGCTAAGATGGGGCTGACTAAGGACCCCAACATGGCAGTGCCCCTCAGTAAGAGAAAGGTCAAGGCCATGGAGATGGACTGGAGGAGAGGCCTCAAGAAGTCGTGTGGAACTCTATGTGCTAAATAATCTGGCGGCACAAGCCAGGCTCCCAGAAAAGGAAATACACTGCCTCGGGACCTCGTAGACTATGTAGGCAGGCTACGTGGTAGAGAACCATGGGGAGGACTCATAGGCTATCACCTAGGATGAGAATAATTACGTACTATCAAGGCATCCCGAGGCTGATTCAGAATAAGATCAACGTCTCTAAGCATTTTTACCCCGCTGAGTGGCAAGCCTTCATTGATTCTTTGCAGAAGAATAAGATGGAGGCTGAATGACTGGTTTATATCTGCCTCAGGCTGAGGCCTCCTCCCAGACCCCAGAAACTGGAGCCAGAGTTTAAGGCAAGGAGGGGTGTGTGGCTATAGATAGGGCTGGCCAAACCCCATGGAATGAAAACATTTTTTTTCTCTCTCTTACTCCCCTCTCTGGAACTGTCTCCCAGCGGTTGCAATTTATATTCTGGGGGCTCTGAGAAAAGCCAAAACTTGCTGTTTTCAGAGTGGGTGGTTTGTTTCAATATAGTCTGTAAATAATAAAAGAAGGCTTTTAAAAAAAAAATCACACATTCTAAAACCAATAATAAATGGCCAACACCCATTAGGACGGTAATTTAAAAAAAAAAATGGAGGATGGCCGATTGGCACTTTGGTTAGGAGTTGGCTTGGGACGCCAGCTCAGAGCTGGCAGAGCCCCGGTTCGAATCCCACATGAGGGCCAGTGACGCTGCGCCCTCTACAGCTAAGATGGTGAACAACAGCTCGACCTGGAGCTGGGCTGCCATGAGTTGCCAACGACAGCGCAGGCTGCAGTGGAGCTGGTTGGCAGCAGACATGAGCTTTCGTGATGTGCTGAGCCCCCATGAGTGGCCGTCCAATGGCCAGCAAACAACTGCCTCACCCGGGAAGAGCGCAATAATAATGCCAATATGGGCCAGTGAAGCAACGTTCTCCACAACTAGACTGAAGAGCAAAGGGACAGCAACTTGTCTGTTTCCCTCCCCCAATTCCCCAATTAAAAAAAAAACAACCTACAGCAGTAACAACTATGGGCAGGAATGCAGAGCAAATTAAGCTCTTATACATGCTAGTGGGATTGTAAAAGGGTATAGCCACTGTGGAAAACAATTGGCCAGTTCCTCAAAAAGTTAAACATAGAGTTACCATATGACCTAACAACTCTACTCCTGGTATAGACCCAAAAAAACCGAAGGCATACAAAACTTGAACACAAGTGTTCATTCACAGCATCATTTATAACAGCCAAAAAGTAGAAAAAAAACCCCACAAATGTCCATCAACTAATGACTGGATAAACATAATGTGGTATACCCATACAATGGAATATTATTCAGCCATATAAGGTATTGATACATACAACACAGATAAACCTTGACAACACATGCCAAGTGAAAAAAGCCAGACTCAAAGGCAACACATTATATAATTCTGTTTAGATAAATCCAGAAAGACAGAAAATAGATTGATTAGTTGTTGCCAGAGGATGGGCAGAGGGGAGATTCGGGATTGACTGTCAACAATTATGAGGTTTATTTTGGGGGTGATGGAAATGTTTTGGAATTTTGAACAGTGGTTACAGTTGCACAGAACTGTGAATATACTAAAAACCAATGAACTGTATACTTTAAAAGGTTAAAAAGTGCCAAGACATGTACAACATGGTGAAAAGATCAAACACCTCTAACTAGAATTATAAAAGTAGAGATAATTAAACATACGTAATATTTGAAGAATACTGGTAAAGAATTTTCTAAAGCTAACAAAAGACATGAGTCTCTAGCAAATGTATGAACCTCTACAAACCTCAGCATGATATGGAAAAAACCATACTTAGACACATCAAAGTCTAAAAGACAAAATCTTAAAAGCAGGGAAAAAAGCAGGGTAACTAATGTCAGTAAGACTAACAACCAATTTTTTATCAGAAATATGGAAACAGAATACAATGACACCTTTAAAGTGCTAACACACACACACACACACACACACACCACATACACACAAGTCAACCAACCTAAAGTTCTATACTAAGAGAAAATATCTCCAAGTGAACATGAAGTAATAGTTTCAGATGAACAAAAGCTGAGAGAACTCATTACAAGTAAAGGGAATTCATCAAGTTAAAAGAAAAAGACCCCTGACGGAAGTACAGAACTGGAGGGATAGAAAGGAACGGGAAAGTAAATATAGATTAATACTGATATTTAAAATAACAGTAACAATGACTTGTATGGTTTAATATACGCAGAAGTATAAAATATATAACAAGGGGGCCAGCCGAGTGCCTCAGTTGGTTAGAGTACAAGCTCTGAGCAACAGGGTCGCTGGTTCGATTCCTACATCGGCCAGTGAGCTGCGCCTGAGCGCAGCTGCCACTGAGCTGGTGAGAGCGCATGT